ATTAGAGATATTAAGCTTAATTTACTAAATTGATCAGATCTCTCATTGTGTTGTGATCAAGGGTGACATGAAAGAAGAGTTTAATGTTCAGCGGCCACCGATTATGGAGAGGCCAAATGAGGTCCTTTCTGATTTCACAGTAGTCGAGTGAGGAGGATAATTGTAATAACTCTAAAGTCCCAACCAAGAAAGATACTGAAGACAACAATATTGCAAATAACTACGAAGACTATTTCAAAGTATAAAAAATTATTGCTGAGAACAATGATAAGACAAATGCCATATTCTAGGCAATTGATGACATTCAATATTATGACATCTCAAGTTGTGTAGTTTCTAAACAACTTGGAATATCTTCCAAACCACCCATGAAGGAGATGAGAGGGTTAAAATAACAAAGTATCAAATTATCATTACCTATGTCTAGAACCTGAGAATTAAAGACAAGTAAATTATTACTGAGCTTCATGGAAGAGTTAGGTAGATTCCAAATCAAACTGCATGAGTGGAACACCCCTAGATGAAGAGAACTTTGTTCTTAAGGTACTTAGGTCATTTTTGGAAAAAAATTGACATAGACGTTTAGACCATCAACCAATCAAATGACATGAAGATGGTATCCTTTGATGCTCTAACGGGGAATCTAAGCAAACTAGACATGATTTATAAAATGCATGCAGGGAACCTTAGGATGGTAAAGACTATGAATCAGATATGGACTATGTACTCAACCAGTTAATAAATATCTTTATATTTTTAAAAAACTAAGGAGAGGTTTTAAACAGCTTCGAAATGTTGTATCCAAAGCAATTGATGAACAAATTAGCTTTAGAAAAACCTAAAGAGACCGAATCGACATTGGGTTTAAGGCACTCAACATGGAAAACACACAAGTTATGCACAGTTTGTTCAAGGAAGCAGAGAAGAACACAGACAAGGTGCTTCATTATCCTCGCCCACATACAACATCAAATAAATGGGCACCGACACTATAGCTGCAATTTTATGTCGCACAACTGAGCTTCCCTCTATTAAATCAACGTCCAGAGAAGCTTCTCTGAAGACCAACTAAGGTTACCCAACATCGTTGCATAAATTAGACACAAATAATGATGAAGGAATACACAGTAGTCAAGATCTATTTTTAGAGGCCGAAACCACACTTTATATCCAAAAAAAAACAATAAAGGTAAAAAATGGTAACATTCTGCCCTTCTATCCTTTTTCCTTTGTCTAATAGCCAAAATGAAAGTGGATGAAAATACTGAGATACAAGAAGTATGTACAAAAGCAAGAGGTTTTGGGGATAATGTATAATAACAACCGAGCTGAATCATATGAGAGTAAGGTTTAGGAAGTATGTGTGCGTAACCATGTCCCTAATCAAAAGTAGAGAGGTTATCTCTAAGTTTTTTTAGGGAGAATGTTTCCCCTAAAAAGGGTCCAATCGATTAATAGTACATAGTGCATGGGATGTGGGCCTTAGTTTGGCCCCTCTGGGTTCTGAGTGGGAAGGATACACATGTTTTTCCACCCTAGCTCATGTGGTTCAGACCAAGCATTTAGGCTGGTTGCGCCATCGATGAGTCTCAGTTATTCTGTAGTTCGAAGCATGCAAAGGGTGACCAGCTTAGCGATGTGTGTTTCACTTGGCAATTCTAGCCGTTCAAATGATGTAACACGTTGCTTACTGCTTATCGGGTCACCAAGCCTCTCAAATGTTGAGACCTGACGGTAATTGCATTCCTCTTCCTCTTAGATGGTTTCCATGTTTGTGGCCTTGGTGTTTTTCTTCTTTCGGCCCATGCAAATAGCCTTCTCACACTAGGTGACTTCATCCACCGTGATGAATATTTGCAACGGATCCGTGGTTGGTGAAGAAGAAAGAGCATTCTCGTGTACTTCACTCGCAAAAGTGGCGAGATTGTTAACAATCACTTGAAAATTCTCGGGTCTTACCACTATCCTTAAATCAGTGCGTGGGTGCCCTCAGCACACAACTTGCGTTGTAGCAACTTGGCATTACATACCCATGGGGAGAGGCATTACATACCCATGGGAGAATAAACATACGAGTTGGATGACGAAGGTCAAGGGGGACCAACGTGGTAGGTGTCCAAAGAGATCGTGGTCATCCTTCTTGGATGCAAATGCCCGGGGCCAACCTCTAGGATTAAAGTGTCATGCATTTCGTGGTCCTTGCCCGCACTCTCTTTGGGCTTGACCGAAAGTGTCTTGGTTCGGGTGCAAGGCCGAGGCCTCCGTCTATAATATAGTTATCTAGTACTCCGTATTTTGTTTTATAATTTTTTTTTATGTAATTTGTAAGTACATAAAATGTATTCTTTAAATTTTCTATCAAATATAAATAAATTAAATTAAAAATAACTTACTACAAAAGTAAAATATTGTAATCTGAAACCGAAAGATCCAAATAGGGAGGTGCAGGGTAATAAATTAATCATAAAAACAAGTTAAGGAATACATATAATAACATAGGATTATCCCTCAAAAAAACATAGGATTACAAGATGAAAGATGAGATCAAGAGAACCCAAGGGTGTCAAAGATGGTAGTGTGAAGTGGGTCACTCAGATGGGTAGCCCAGTTGTTGAGTGGGCCTTTTCCCGTAGCAGCAGCTTGGATAGCAAAGCCCAAGAAGGCAACCATTGCAAGCCTGGCATGCTTGATCTCCGCGAGCTGAAGGCCGGACTTCTTCTCCGGGTCAGCAGCCAGGCCCAACGGGTCAAAGAACTTCCCGCCCGGGTACAGCCTCATCTCCGGGTCGAGTTCGGCGTTCCTCTGGAACTCAATGAACCCGACGGCAAGAACCTCCGTCCATATCAATGTCGTCATTGAGAACGGAAGCGGTTGCCCGAGGTACGACGATCCGTCGATTAGCTCTACCTGTGTTTTGTTTTTTTTTGTTTTAATTTTAGGGAATCTGAGCTAATTTGGACGGAGATCGGAAAACGAGATCCGGAATTCACGTACCTTTCCGGCGTCTTGCCAGGTAACTCCGGTGAGCCACTCCACAGCCAAGGCGCCGAGGGTAGCCAGCATCGCCCACCTTCCATGGATCAGCTCGCACTCCCTGAACCTCTGGAGCCCGAAGACCTCGCTGTACGGCTGGAACGGCGTCGGCCTCACGTCGGAGAACTCTGTCCTCGTTCCGATGACTTCCCCGGCGAGGTTCTTAGACAAACTCTGATCCAGAGAGTCGAGCTCGAACTGCAAGTATTCTGCGGGCTTTCCCAGCCCGAGCGGGTCGAATCCGTAGTCTCCGACGAGAGTTCCGTCGAGGTATTCCGGCGACTTAGCTCCCGGATACCACAAGGGCCTATTTGAGATGGGCTTCGGTGTTGCCTTCTTCGGAGGAGATTTCTTGCGTCCAAGTCCGAATCCGAAACGGGCCTGGACTCGAACCGGGATCCGAGATCCGATCATCGAGGACGTAACGGCGGCGGCGGCGGCCATGGCGGAGGTTTGGGTGAAGGATAGATATTACTCCGTCCAGAGATTTGGTCTGTAATGAAATACTGGTTCGTTGGGTCGGGTATTAATTAGTGGGCTGATTTATTATTTATTTTATTTTAAAGGTCGTGATCTACGTAGAAGAAGGAGAGACATTGGATTTGAAGAGTGAATCAATCTGACGGCTGTGGAAGTTTCTGCCTTATCTCTTTCTTATCTTATTTTTTGTAAGGCAATCGGTTCTCTATTCTTTCTATTTGAGCTATTTTTTTCCAATACAAGCATTATTGTCATATTTGGACAAGAATGACCTACCATGTTCCATTAAAAAAATTGATAGTTCCTAACTCGTTAAACCTTTATGTCTTCTACTTTGCACCTCGCCCCAGTAGTCCCTCTGCCGCCCACCCCAAAACACCGATTGGCTACAGTATTATTATTATCCGTAAAACGACTATGTTAAGTCATTTTGGATTGGTTGAACTATTGCAGGTTACTTTTAAAATGTCTTAATTAAAATTAGTGAGCAAAAAAATATGAATTTTGATATCTTCATATATTATACTCCCTCCGTCCGGGAATAAGCTTCCTATTTTGACTTTTCCTCATTTTTAGTGAGGGTTGAATACATCATCAAAATGTCCAAATTACCCTCCTTTTGCCCCCCACTGCCGCCGCCCC